GGTTGCATAGTGACCAAGGTCGCGATTTTGAGTCTGCCTTAATTAAAGACCTATGCTCCCTGCTTGGCATTAAGAAAACAAGAACAACTCCGTACCATCCACGTGGCAATCCCGTGGAAAGGTTCAATCGGACACTTCTCGAAATGTTGGGCACACTTGAGGAAGGAGACAAAACCAGATGGAAAGAATTTGTACAGCCTCTTGTACATGCGTACAATTGTACTAAAAATGATACCACCGGTTTTTCCCCTTACCAACTCATGTTCGGCCGTCAGCCTCATCTTCCTATAGACATAGCTTTTGGCCTTATAACAGAGCGGTGTGCCAAACTTTCCCATTCTGAATATGTGAAAAAGCTTGCAGAAAGTCTAACTGAAAGTTATCGGTTGGCTTCTGAACACAGTCAAAAACAGGCAATCCAAAACAAAAAAAGGTTTGACAACAAAGTGAGAGAGTCCACTTTGGTAACTGGCGACAGAGTCCTAGCAAGAAATGTAGGTCTCAGAGGCAAACACAAAATAGCAGATCGTTGGAGTGAGACTGTATACACTGTTGTAAAGCAAATACCTGACTTACCTGTTTATGTGTGGTCGTCCCAGAAAATGCAAATGGGCCTGAGAGAGTCCTACATCGAGATTTACTGTTGCCCTGTGGATTTCTACCATCTACCACTGAGGAGGTGAACTCTACAAATCCAAAGCCCAAACCAATCCAAAAAGAGTTGCAACAAACTAAACATTTGCAGTCTGATGAGGAAATAGACTTGGCTGACCTGGAAGATGGAATTCAGTACTACTCTTCTTATGACAAACCATCACAAGTGACAAAGGATGGACAAGTAGACAGTGAACAGAGAGAGACGGTGCAAACAAACAGTGAACAAGGAGACACATCGCTAACAGACAATGAAGCTCCGAAAAACATCTTTGATGAGGTGTCAGATCACGATTTTTCAAAATGTATTTGAACAATCTGAAAGTGAAAGTTCAGTTTCATCTCCATTGAACCCAGAGGCTATAGAGTTTCAACCACTATCACCTCAAGAAGTTGAACAAATCAAGGTCACTCCTGTTCACCAAACTGTTGAAACTGTTGATCCCCCAAAATCTCCTGCTGGCACTCAAAGTGGCCACAGTAGTCCCACAAGTGAAACGCAAAATGTGACCGACGTTGCAGATGGAAATGAGCAACCAAAGCCCAGAAGATTCCAACAATGAGACAGGGCTGAGAAGGTCTACCCGAGAACGAGTAGCTCCCAGAAAGTTAACTTATCCCACTCTCGGTAGCCCACTAATGACCGTAATGCATTCTATTCTATGGGGATTAGACCAAGCCCTATCTGAGACTTTTACTTTTGATCCTGTAGCCATTAACTCTCTAACTGTTTAAAATAGTGTTATGTGCAACATGCAAGGATGCATGCTGATTTAGGGGGGGAGGATGTAACCCACCCAAGTTTTACTTGTTGAATTGGAAATGTGTTCCTTTAAATTTCATTCAACTATGCAGTGTCATATGCGCCCAGTAGACGGTGCTGTGGGTTTTGTTGCAGCAATGCACACCATCTTTGTGAAGAAGCTGGACACACTGTGCTATTGTGAAATGATATATTCTTAAATTTGTAAATATTCAGAGAATGTATAACTGAAGAGATGTATGTACACAATGATTTTTTGTACTGCACTGGTTTTTTGTTTGTTCATTGTGTTTGCTTGATCCCTTTGCTTGCTTTGCAGGTTGGTTTTTTTTGTTGACCCGAATTGACCTGGGACTGTTCGCTGTGAGGCTGGAGTCACTGGATCCAGGACCTGTGGACCTGCTGGACGCCTTGACGTCTCTTCTTGGTGGACCTGACCTTCATTGCAGTACAGTTGAATTAAACTAAGATCTTGTGCACCAACGAAAGAAAGAAACAAAAAATCATACTACCCGGGTAGATGAGACAAAATAGTTTTTTTTTCAGAGCTCTGAACTTTTTATTTTTGAAAGGACAAATTGTTGGACAAAAGGACTGATTTATGTAGGGGTAAGCTGGTAATATTTGGGGAAGAATATTGATTCTGTTCAATAAATTTTACACACTTTTCTCATTTCAACCTACAGTCTAAATTTATTACACCTTCTTTCCTCCTTTAGAACCTAGATTCCTGGGTACACGTATCATTCATATCTTACTAGTTCGTTTGGTACAGGTTACACATAGTACATCAGTCAGTAGTATAGTCAATCCTATATGGTCAGATTCTGTTCAGTAAAGCTTACATTAAAGTCTAATTTGAGTAACAGAGTTTCAAACAGAGTAGTGCTCAGTTAGCATCATACCTTCAGGGAATGTTGATGACATCAGCAGCAAAGTTTCACTACAGACGTATACTCTAACCTAACATCTTCCTCCAGAGTGTCGCATGTGCTCCAGAGCACGTTTGTCCTGACAGAGGAGTGGCTGTAGAGCAGGCTCATCAGTGAGAGTTCTCTTCCATTCAAACAGCCCAAACTCCCTCTTCTATTTGTGCATCACGTTAAAGGCTCAGTATAGCGCCTTCTGTGGTGTATGTGCGTCACTGCAGCCCCTCTGTCTCCTGTTTGAACAAGCCCACAGGGATTATACACAGAGCCCAAATCCTGTGTACAGATTAGCACAACAATAACAAACCCATATCTAAAATAAGCAGGGCCCACATGTGTGCGGCCGTGCATCTAAACACGGACTAATGCTGCTACAATGTACAGAGGAGGAGGCCAGAGCACGGGCAGAAAATATCAAAGAAAAGATTAAAGCAGGAGCCTAAATATTACACAAATGTTTATCAAAACTAAATGAAAGCCCTTAACAAGATTGTCCTTTTTGAAATCATTTTGAAACAGTTTGTGATGAGTTTATAAGCACGTTTCACAACTCTCAAAGACCAGAGTGGAGTTTTACCACCAGGGTAATGCGAACAACAACTCTAGCATGCTAACATGCACTTCCTGATTATCTGTCTTTATAATCAGACACAGAACATGTTATAATCAGCAGTATATGGAGAACGTCTTTTGGCCTCAAGAGCTGCTTCTACAATACTGTCACATGGGAAAAAATTGGTATAAAAAATTGGATATTGTTTTTTTTGTTTTTTTTAAGCTTTTATTACAAATTTTAAAAGGTCAGACCTGTCAGTGAATCACAGGCTGCTGTCTTTGCCTTCCAACCAATCAGCGCTCAAGCCATTCTAATAAAAAGGCACTATCCACTCTTACGTCACAAACCAGGAAGACGTTTGAAAACACACGATTACAACTTCCGGAGGGTTCTGTTAGAGGTAGTCTGACAAAAACTAGGAAAAATGAGAAAATATCCCTGTTTTCTTCATCTCCATGTTAATGTAGCGTTCCGATATGCTTGGATAATCAACATTTCCAACCATCCCTCAGTTTTCATCATGTGAGAGATGAGGGACAAATTCCAGATGATTCCAAACAGCACATACGTCTGCAGTCTTCATTTTACCGCTGATCACATTTACCTCAGATCACAGTCGGTCGGTGAGTCCAGTGTTGGAAACTACACCGGAAGTTGCATGTTTCAAAACGTCTTCCTGGTTTGTGACATAAGCGTGAATAGAGCCTTTACTCTTTTTCTCCTCTCCTCATCAGCCTCTCAACTCGTTCTTGTCCTGTGTGGAGTGTGACATCACCACATATGAAGGCCTTGACAAAAAATAGAATAGATGTAAAAATGTTGGGATCAATAGGAAGAAAAACCAATGTCCTGGTGGCTGGCCTTATTGGCTGCTTTTCTGGGGTCAGATCTCCATAGCAGCTCTGGTCTCAGTGTTTGAGGAGCAGAAGGCACATTGTGTAATTGTGATTTGTGATTTTTCTCGACTCAGTGAGATCGTGGCCGTGCGAGGTGATGGAGCAGACCAGACACTGACCTCCTCCTTCAAACCAATGAACTCAACCACCCCACATTACATCACCAACAAAGTGCAGGCTACATATGTATTTTTGTAATCATAAAGCAGAAACCTGTTATGAAAAATTCTACATTTCAGAGCTTTTAACCATGTTATAGTTGTTTCCCCTCACCATTAACTCACTCAGAGTTGTATCTGGAGTGATTTGTGCATGTTTGAGCACTGTAACCTTGTTTTCCCTCCACTAGTACACGCTTAGACAGTTTTTCAGTCAGTCACTTTCACTGTTGGGCAAGTTACTTTCAAAAATGTAATGTGTTATTTATGACTTGTTAGTGTCATTTCAATGTAATTTGTTATATTACAATATTACTGCATTTAAAATGTAAAACATTACACAACTACTGCAGCACTTTAAGTTACTCTCACCAAAATAACTGTGAAGATGCTGAACTTTTCCGCCGTATATGGACTGAACCAGGACTAAACCAGAACTGAACCAGGACAAAACCAGGATTAAACCAGGTCTAAACCAGAGCTGAACCAGGACATAACCAGGACTGAACCAGAACTAAACCAGGTCTAAACCAGAAATGAATCAGAACTAAACCAAGACTAAACCAGGTCTAAACCATGACTGAACCAGGACAAAACCAGAACTGAACCAGGACCGCTACTGAGATAAAAAAAAAACACCACTTCAGTCCAAATTAAAAAGCATTTTTTTCCCTGTAATGCCACATTACTGCATTATAGGAAAAAGCAATGCATTACAGTAATTTGTTACTTTTATAATGCGTTACTCCCAACACTGGTCACTTTTACCTTTTTGTTCAAAGTCAAACTCCTAAACAGGACCATGAATGCTCGGACTGATCACAGGCTCTTGAAAATATCTTGTTTAAATCCACTTTATATTTTGACTTGAGTTTTTAGACAATTTAAAAAACTTCTTGTCTGTGTTTGCTATTGTGTGCATTATGTCACCATGGTAACTGCTGAACATTGGACCACAGAGACACATTGAGAACACCTCTAGTGTATTCAGTATGAGTCTAGTTGTATCCAGATGACATATAGAGAGTGTAAAATGTGACTGACTGTTGGGGTCGGCGTCGTCACTCTTGGGGGGGGTGTGGCCGGTGTAGCCCACTGCGATCCTCACCGCTCTCTCGGGGTTTCGGATTTTCTTCAGTCCTGCAAAAAATAAAAGACAAAACCAAATCTTGTAGAGAAGGTTACAGTGTTGGTCATCTGGACAATGCTTTTCAGCTCCATCCAGAACAAAGGAGTGTCACCATCACACACTCTGAAGGAAATATAGACAATAAATGATAATACTGAACCCAAACCATGAAGCAGAATTATCCTTGAATTATCACCTAAACTACACTCACGGACTTTAACTTCTTCTATTTTTAAAGACAATACAGTCAAGTGTATTTATCTTGTCGACATGTTTCTGCTGCTGCTGGATCTTCAGAACTGTCCCTGGTGTTGGTGGTGACGTGTCGTATATCAGCTGTTGTTACTTCCTGTTCTTCTTTTTCCTGTTCCTGGTCAGTCTGATTGAGCCGTCATCCGGTGTTCTCTGGAGGAGGGAGTCCCAGGTGTGTGAAAGGAGAAACGCTTCGTCATCACGGTTAATGGTGTCCGTGCCTTGATTCCTGGTTTCACCGTCCTCCCTGATCCAACATTTTAACTTGTTGTTTTCTGATCCAATGACTCGAGCCCCGTCCCAGTCCAGAATGTGCTTATTTCTTTTACAGTGTCTGATATGGCTGATTTTAGGTTTTCCTGCTCTGCTTTGTCTTTTTGTGTTCTGGTGAGTCTCCCTGATGTTTCCTTTTCGCTTTCCAGGAAGTTACAGGATGTAACAACAGTTGATGTACACCACCATCACCGAGGAGAGTTTTGAAGATGCAGCAGCAGCAGAAAAATGTCAACAAGGTAAATACACTTGGCTGTATTATCTTTTAAAAGAACCCAAGAAGTTAAAGTACATAAGAAGACAAAATGAACATCTTTGGTTTAATTGTCATGTACAATATGGCTAAAAACCATGAGCTGTGGTAAATAACAGAATGCAACACTAAAGGAGTTAGTTTGTGTCTGTAATAGGTCATAAATCCACAGCTCAAACCTCACTGTGGTACAGAAAAACAACAAAACATTTCTCACTCTTGAAAACATTGAAAAGCACTTTCTGAATAAAGAGTTTGTTATTATTGTCAAGGTATCACGATCAGTATAGAATAATGGGTCTATTCCTAAATCTAGTCTATTTAAATCGAGTTTGAAATGTTAATATCGTGACCACACTAACCATAAACCAGGTCAACAAAAGTGCAATCTGACAGTTTAACAGCAAATTCCACCTGAGAATTCTGAGCATTCTTTCATATTATTCTGTCCTATAACAATCCCTCTTATTTGAATATGATTTGGCGACTCCCCCTCACTGTTTTGATAATGACTCCGTGCTGTGATCTGGACCACGCGGTTCCATCGTTGCCGTGACGAAGTTGGTACCGGGCGATAGTTTCTCTCATCCTCTGTTTCCGTGACCACTGTTGCTATGATACAACGCCAGAGTTGAGATGCTCTCCCCGACTACAGACCATCAAGACCAGCATCGCCACTGCCTCTGCTACAAACACGACCATTTAGGACAGATTTAGTCCCACATTAGTCCTGGTTAGCTCTGATTTAGTCATTGGTCAAAGTTTAGTCCTAGTTTAGTCCTTTGGGATGTTTTTTGATCCTGGTTTAGTCTGGATTAAGAACTAGTGTAGTCCTAGATGAGTCATCGTTTAGTTCCAGTTCAGTCCTGGATTAGATCTAGTTTAGTCCTGCTTTGTCCTGGTTTAGTCTTAGCTTAGTCAAGGTTTAGTCCTGCATCCTTTGGCCATGTTTTCATCCTTGTTTAGACCTGGTTTAGTCCTTTTAAGAACTGGTTTAGTCCTTCTGTAGACTTTGTTTGTATTGGTTTTGTAGCCTACTTCAGTCTGACATTAGTTCTGGTGGAATCCTGATGTAGTTCTGGTAAACCTCCATTTCAGTCCTGGTTCAGTCCTGGTTCAGTCCTGGTTTAGTCCTGGTTTAGTCCTGGTTTAGTCTTGGTTTAGTCCTGGTTTACATCTAAAATAATTCTGGTTTAAACCTTCTCAAAATTGTACTGATATTGGTTAAAGACATTCAAGTACCAAAACTAAACCAGGAATAAACCAGAACTGAATCAGGACTGGACCAGGTCTGTCCTGGTCTTGTGTGCAGTGGTGTTGCGTGTGTACTGGGAGACTTGCTTTTATATTTATGGACCTTCTGTTGATGCCCAGCGGTCTCACGTCTCATGTCCAGCTCTGTTTAACACGCAACCAGACGCTCATCTCTCTTTCCTCCTCCTCCACCTCTCCTTTTCTCTCTCTCCTCATCTCTCACCCTCACCCCTCTTCTCTCCCCTCTCCCTCCCTAACCTCCCTTCATTTCGCTCTCTTTGAACCCCCTCTCTTCCTCTTCCTCCAAAACTAAACCAAAACAAGACTGAAATTGAAACAAATGAAAAATATATCAGGATGAAATTAGGACTAAAACAGGATTGAACCAGGGCTAAACCAGGACTAAACAAGAACAAAACCAGGACTCAACAAGGACTAAACCAGAACTGAACCAGAACTAAACCAGGACTAAACCAGGCATCAGAATGATACCAAAACCTGGACTAAACAAAAACTAAATGAGGGCAGCATTCAGATGTTTTTCCATTCTATCATAAAATATACAAAGTAACTTACTCTGCCTTCACACACAACACATCAAAACAGGGACCAAACTAGGAACTAAAGCAAGACTAAACCAGGACTAAACCAGGACTAAACCAGGTCTAAACCACGACTAAACTAGAACTAAACCAGGTCTAAACCAAGACTAAACCAGGATTAAAACAGGATGACATCTGGACTAAACCAGAACTAGAACAGAACCAAAAGTCTCCATCACCATTCAACCAAAAGGACATGTGGACACACAGGTCTGTCACCATAGCACATTTTGAAGTTCGATATATCGATCAAGTCAATATGCACGATAAAAGATAAGGATAAACCATTCTAAAACTACAGTATAAATAAATTAAATGAAATACTCGACATACTGTTGTTGGCATCTGTAATGAGTCATAACTGTGAATTCAACATCCAAGGGCTCAGATCTTATCTCAGAGCCAAAATATAACCAAAAAGTGCAAAGAAAAGATAAGGATTAATACTGACCCCCCAAAACGTTCCATCTTTCACATAAAGAAGTGAAAAGAGCGATTCTTGTGACAGGCCTAGAGCCGTGTGAGTGCAGCCTTACAAGCTCCTACATCCTGACAAACCAAACTATTGACATCTCATCACATTACATCAGCAGATGCACAGGCCTATGAATAATGCCTCTATTTATCCTACTTTTACATACTAGACATGCTTCAAAATACTCACACTTGAATACTGTTAAAGGTGCACTGTGTAATCTTTCTAACTGAGGGTCCAACACACACTTTGTCTCCATGGAGATGTTGTTATTGTGCCCGGCTTGTCCCACAATATGGCAGAAAACATGTCTGTCTCCATGGAGACAAGTAAGAAAGTAAGTGAGTAAGTCAGACTTTATTTCTAGAGCACCTTTAACAGATAAAATATCACAAAGTGCTTTACAGAGAGCAGCAAACAACATGAACAAAAACAGAGGAATTACAGACACAGTCAACCAAAAGCTGGTGTAAATAGCAGTGTCCTGAACTGATAAAAAAAAAAAAAAGTCTATAGAGTCTGCCTCATGGAGGACCAGGGCATTCCATAACTTGGAGCCACAGCCTGAAAGGTTTGGTCCCCCCATGTTTTGAATCGGGTCTTTGGGACCATCAGGAGGCCCTTACCTGAGGACCGGAGGATGTGACCTGAGGTATGGGGGCACAGTGCGTCAATGATGTACAGGAGCTCTGTTCATTTAGACCTCTGTAAGTTTAAACCATCAACATAGAAGTATGTGCCACCACTGTGGAGAGGCGACCCTACGTAGAGGAAGAAAGTATGTTTTTCAAGCTATTTTTGAGAAATAAAAACACTTTTGTATGAATAAATGCAAGAACCTGAATGCCACACTGTGGAACATTCCAGGTAAAGTAATAACATCAAAATGGCACAGTGCAGCTTTAAATAAGAAAAGTGTACACGTGTGCACATGCACAGTGTTGTCACGATTCAAACATTTCAAACTCAATTACAATCATAAGCAACAGATTTGATAGTCAATACAGACTAAAAACACTCCTTTTTTAAACAGTATACTGTGATTTTCACCATTAAATGGTAGAACTTTCTTTTCTATTCCATGTGTGTTATATGTGTGTAATGGTCAGTGGTGCAGTAGGTTCATTTTGGTCCATGTGTGTATACTAGTCTATGTGCTCTTACACTTGTTCTGATCCAACTCAACATCATTCTAAAGACATTCAGGAAAGGTTCATTTCTGTTCTGTCAATGGGACTTTTTTTAGTATTGATACCTGTGAAGAATGAGGAGATAGTTTTAGTATCGATTAGTATCTGGTTTTCAATATTTTTCCCAGCCCTAGTGCTGCTTTGTGTTGCAGTGGAAACAGGGAGCACACAGGTTTGACTGGTGCTGCGAGCGGCTCATTTAGTGCAGAAAAATAAACAGGGACCAAAACCACAAAGGACCAACTGTCTTTATACTTCAAAGATACAAAACACTGAGCCACTTCCACTTTCAATTCTACAGACTGCAAAACCTCCCTAGTCCTGTGGCAGAGTGGTTAGCCTCTCCTCCTGTGAGTGCGGAGGTTGTGGGTTAGACTCCTGATGTTCTCCCTGTGTTACTGTGGCAGAGTGGTTATCCAACAAATCAATTGTTAAGGTTGCAACTTGCCCAAGGCCATAATATCAATAAGTTATTCTGATCTGACACGTTGTAAATAATGTACAGATCATGGTACTTCTACTGCTGTTGGTTACACACTACCACTACTACTATTACTACTACTACTACTACTACTACTACTACTACTACTACTACTACTACTGCTACTACTGCTACTACTACTGCTACTACTACTACTACTACTACTACTACTACTACTACTACTACTACTACTACTACTACTACTACTGCTGCTACTACTACTACTACTACTACTACTACTACTACTGCTACTACTGACTACTACTACTACTGACTACTACTACTACTACTACTACTACTACTACTACTACTACTACTACTACTACTACTACTGACTACTACTACTACTACTACTACTACTACTACTACTACTACTACTACTGCTACTACTACTACTACTACTACTACTACTACTACTACTACTACTACTACTACTACTGACTACTACTACTACTACTACTACTACTACTACTACTACTACTACTACTACTACTACTACTACTACTACTACTACTACTACTGCTACTACTACTGACTACTACTACTACTACTACTACTACTACTACTACTACTACTACTGACTACTACTACTACTACTACTGCTACTACTACTACTACTACTACTACTACTACTACTACTACTACTACTGCTACTACTACTACTACTACTACTGCTACTACTGCTACTACTACTACTACTACTACTACTATTACTACTTCCAAGGCATCTGACACAAAGGGATACAACCCTGCATTATATTGTTTAGTCTCTAAATCTGATTTAACATGACTTACTTCTGTTTTAAACATGGTCCAGTCCTTGGTTTAGCCCGGGTTTAGTCTCTGTTTTTATCTGGTTTAAACCTGTTTTTTCCATCCATCCTCCTTCTGTTTATCTGGGACCAGGTCACACAGGCAGCAGTCTCTGCCAGGGACTCCCAGTCCTTGTTTAGTCCCTTGCTTTGTCCCTGGTTTAGACCTGGTTCAGTCCTCATTTAGATCTGTTTTTTAAGATGTTTTAGTTCATATTTGTTTGTGGTTTAGTCCTGGTTTAGTCCTGTTTTAGTTCAAATTCAGTAATGGGGTTTAGTCCTAGTTCAGTTCTGGTTCAGTCCTGGTTTAGTCCTGGTTTAGTCCTGTTTTAGTTCAAATTCAGTAATGGGGTTTAGTCCTAGTTCAGTTCTGGTTCAGTCCTGGTTTAGTCCTGGTTTAGTCCTGGGGGTTAGTCCCAGTTTAGTCTTGGTTCAGTCCTGGTTTACTCCTGGTTCAGTCCTTGGTTAGTCCTGGTTTACTCCTGGTTCAGTCCTTGGTTAGTCCTGGTTTAGACCGGGTTCAGTCTTGGTTTAGTCCGGGTTTAGTCCTGGTTTAGTCCGGGTTCAGTCCGTGTTATTACAGGACTATATGAATCCAGCTGTAGATGTAGAGGCCTGAGCTCATCGCCATGGAGATCGTGGTCATTCTGTGCATTATTAATGAGGAGGAGAGAATCTGCTGCTGCTACAAAAATGACCTGAGGAAACACTCGTGTGAGCCCAAAACCTCCAAACCTCTGGATCTTCACACACCGCAAGAGGTGAAGGATAAAACGTGTAAAGCATTATCACGGAACTTTCTGGAGGTAACACCTGACGTCACCATGAAAGAAAATGATGCTGAGAATTGCATGGGAGAATCAGGACTAGACCAGAACTAAACCAGGACTAAATCAGTACTAATCCAGGACTAATCCAGGACTAAACCTGGACTAAATAAAGAATAAACCAGGACTAAACCAGAACTAATCCAGGACTAAATCAGAATAAAACCAAGACTAAACCAGGACTAAACAAAGAATAAACCAGGACTAAACCAGGACTAGACCAGAACTAATCAAGGACTAAACCAGATCTAAACCAGGTCTAAACAAACAATAAACCAGGACTAAACCAGGACTAAACTAGAACAATTACTAGACAATTTCAGCAAATATACTAAATAATCAACAATTGTGAGCAAAATGTAGTCATCATAAATGAAGTGAAAATGTTGTGGCGTGTTATTGTGGTGGAGCCAGGCTGAGGCTGCAGGCTCCATCCCTGAGCTAGCAGCAGCACCAGGACACTCTAGACCTGTCACCAGAACTCACCACACCTCACAACACAGACACCCCGACACCCCGACACCCTGTCACCCCGTCACCCCGACAAACCACAACACTCCAACACGTTTGTTTAAATATAGTGCAACAAATACAAAACACAATGAACTTATTATGAGTCCTAAACTTACAGTGTGTATTCTCCCCTTTACAACTCAAAGATTATCTTAAGAAACAGATAGATAGATAGATAGATAGATAGATAGATAGATAGATAGATAGATAGATAGATAGAAATACAACAGAATTGTTTCAAAAAACAAAGAGGAACAGCCATGGTTAGAAAAAAGGTCCATTTGTGCTGTCCCAGATGGAGCATGAGTCTGTGTTCTGTTTCTATTATACACATTTTCATGAGAAATGAAACAAGAAAAAAGTCAGTC